TGGGGACTAGAGAAAACCTGGTCTTTCAGCTCTTATATAGCCACGGATGGCTGAACATTTCTGGCGTGGGAATCTTCATTGCACCAGTAATAAATCAAAGCCCGTGCTGTCCTACGTGGCAGAAAACCCTATGGTTGGGTTGGCTTGTAGTGTGCGGGTGACCGCCGTGTTGCACCGTGCAAAAGGCCTCCATAACCCTTGTGTCATCGGGTTGCAGCGTTTTCCTCCTTCTGTTTGCGGCCCCAGCAAGCGTTAATCCCACTGGGCAGACTGGGCGGCTGCTTTTTCGGCCCCGTGGGTTCCTGTTGTACGCCTTGGCTGCAAAAGGGCCACACGTGAAACCAAAGTTTTTTTTCAAGCTATTTGCAGTGCAGAAGTAGTAGCAGCTGCAAACACCAGTGAGCCATTCTTCTGGTACCTTTTGCTGTCAAATTAAACACCAGAGATTAAAGAATTAGCCTGAGTAGGAGCGAGTCTTTAATTCCAGAGCTAAATCATGCCTTGCGACATCTCGCATTACTCAGAAGATGATGCAATAACTCACCCCTTGCCTAATATGTTGCTCAAATGGCAGGGTCCCTCTGCCTGGATGTGGAGCAGCTAAAATACATCTCTTGCCTTTTCTTCTGTTCGTTTTAGGTAGCTGGGAAAATACAATGCCTCAGAGAGCATGTGTAGGCTTGGGAACAGGTTTTTTTGGAGATCATCATCTGGTTTTCGGGGGCTCTTGGAAGCCCTTGAACTGTTCAGTGAAATGGCATTGCAAATTCCCATCCATAGACTAACTTTGCCTAATTTCTGATTTTTGAAGAGTGTGGTTTGGGTCTAAACCAAGTCCTCGTCTTTGGAGGAGCCCATTTCTCTCCCTTAAGACTAGCTCATCCTCAGGCCGATGTCCTTTGGAAGTATTTGTTTTCTTTCCAGCAGCTGCAGGGGTACCCAGTTGCCTTGTGTAGATTTGGGAAATGCTGGAGGGCTGAAGTCGGGGCTTAGTCTCCCACCCCATCCCATGTCTCTGAGATAGAAGCTGGAGATGCAGAAGGCATGTGGAGGTCAGGTAGGCTTCCTCCTCTCTCGTCTTCATGGAGGAGCATGTATAGGAATCCTTCTCCTGTTATAGTCAGGAGAGAGATTCTTAATGCAGTTGAAATAGCTTTTGATGCTTGAGATATAATTTAATAATAATGCATTTCAGAGGGTTTTTTTAGTCTTTGTTCCTTTGCACTCTTTTAGACTGTTGCTAGACACCTCTTTGGGAGCTGGGTAGAAAGCTTTCAGCAGAATATAATTTCTTGGTCAAACTCTTCAGAAAAGAGGTTTTCTCCCAGTTTCTAGCTGGCCTAGGGTCTTGATGGAAACCACTGCCCGTAAAAACTTTTTCGCTTAAGACTCTTGGATTTGTTTGTTGTTTAAATTTAACAATCGCAGAATAACTGAGGTTGGAAGGGGCCTCCAGAGGTCTTTAGCCCATCTCTGCTCAAAGCACAACCAACTTTCAAGTTACATGGAATTGCTTAAGCCCCATCCAGTTGAGTTTGGAGGATCTCCAAGGATGGAGATCGCCCACATCTCTTGCCTGTTCCATTCTCACAGGGAGGAATTTCTCGTGTTGTAACTTGTCTTGTCTCCTCATTGCGCAACTCAAAGAGGAGCCTGGCTCCGTTTTCTCTATGCTCTCCCATGGGAAGTTGTAGCCAGTCCCTTCGTTCTCTCATCTTGAAGCCAAGTTCCCTCAGTCTATCTTCATACATCGTGTCCTCCCATCCCTAAACATTGTGGTGGCCTTCGCTGGACTCGCTCCAGTGTGTTGATGGCTCTGTGACCTCCTGGCAGTTGCTAAAAAGCCCAGCTACCGTTTGTCGTGTCATAGCATGGCTGTCGTTAGTCTTAAAATACATATTGGAGAGGGCAAACAGAGAACCTTTGCATAGGAAGCATCTGCTGTTTGAAAGAGGCACGGCTTCTTATGTTTCGGAAAAAGAGGAACTCCCCTGAGTTGCATTGTGAGCTATTGGGACCGCTGGCCATGTGAGCAGGGGGTCACCACGTGGTACCTCTCCATGCAAGCACTGAAGGGGCATGAGTTTTCTCCAAGCTCTTTCAAGCACCTGGCATCATCAGCCCTGCTGAGATTAGAAGTGACTTTTAAAATCGTTTTGGATTTTTTCCAGAGTTTTCCCATGTGGTCCGGCTAGCCGGGACGCCCCTTCTCCTTTCGCTTTGCAAATTCCTTGCTCTTGGGAGCTGCAGTTAAGTTGGCCCAACTGAGCCAACAGGCACAAGGGGGATGTATGTGTTTGTGTCTGCCCTGGTATTTCCCTGGGTGGTTGTGAAGGAATAGACAAAATTGTTGCTCTGGGATATGCAATGGTGCCTGTTGAGCATGCCGTTAACCTCTGCTTATCAACCCTGCCCGTGACAGCCTTGACGAGCTGGAGCTCTTTCGACTCTTCTAGAGATGCCGGCATTTCTCAATCAGTGACCTTTGAAATGCGTTATATAAGTAGCCGTCACCGAATGCGTCTAGAACTGAGTCTGCTGCGTCTAGGAGGACTCCTAGACTCCACAAAACACCTCCTGCGCTCAGAAATGCGATGGCTTTCCCTTATCTCGGGGCTCGGTGTGTATTTTGGCCACCGCTTTGCTTGCGAGCTCATGTGATGTCTTGATTTTGAAAGTGTCTTGGTGTCTCGGCCAGTCTGCTTTAACTCTTGGGAGACGGAAAAACAGAGAGGGGAGACCTGCCATGCTGGGATGAGAGTGTTTTACCTCTTGGCGAGACCGTGAACTCAAAACCGAATGCAGATTAGTGGCACCACTCTCTTGGGAGAAGCTGTATCTATGCTCTTGTGGTTAGAGGAGCAGTCCTTGCTGGATTACCATAGAGGGTAAATTCGAGCCTGCTAAGTCCAAGACGTTCAACTCCCTCATCTCTTGCTGTTTCCAAGAAACCAGGATTTGCAGGGAGTGCAGTTACGTGCTCATCAGGAGAAAGATAAATCACTGCATGTTTTCCTCTAAAGGAGACAGTTTCTAAAAATAGGAACCATGCTGGAGCTCCGGAGAACAAAAGAGCTCCTGGAAGGCTCCTGCCACTGTCCGTTCTCCGTGATCTGCACCCTCTGCCCCTCCTTCCTCTATCATCCCTCTCCCCACCACTCAGCCACGCGCTCCGTGTTTTTGGAAGGATTTCAAATCCGCCGCTTTGGGAGCATTGTGTTTTGCAGGCAACAGCTCCTGTCCCTTCCCCCTGGCATGCCAGACCGGGCTGCTTGGTGACTCAGGCTTTCCTGAATGAACGCGGCCCTGTCTAGCATGACCTCAACCGCTTGGTTCTGCATCTCTCCAGCCTTTTCCAAAATGCCTTTGAAGCCAAAAGGAACAAGGAATGCTGTCCTGCCGCAGCCACGTTTCCAGGCCAGGTTCTGATGATGTTACGACAGTGACGGAGGATAACCCTGGTATTTTGTCTCATCTCAGCTCTGTGCCTAGACGAAACAGCTCAAAACCCAGCAACTTCTCGGAGTGAGAACTACAAACTGGAGATGTTCAGCCTTAAAAGTCTCACCTCAAATGTGGCTGGAGCCTAAACTGTTGGAAGGACTGAAAACTAACCTGGGCTTGTCACGTACCTCTGCTTGTAGGGCAGGTCCTGCCCTGCTTTCCCCATCTCCAGAACCAACACAGTGGCCTGAACCCTGTGTTGCTCAGGCCACCGTGCTTGACTTGTGGGTTTTACGGCATGTGACCAGCAGCCCCTAAAATAAATGCAAACTGTGAGAGGATGCATCTATCGGGGAGAGGATGGCAAGGCCTGGCAGAGGTCAGGGACAGGCAGTCTGGGCTACAAGGGCTCTCATGGACTGAACTCGCAGGCTGTTCTAGCAAAGCCTGGCTCCTTGGCTGTGTGTCCCCAAGGGCGAGCCTCAGGCGGCCCATGACCCAAGATGATGCCAGGAGCAGGGATGCAGGACAGGTCCTTGTCCCAGCTTCAGGGCCAGGCTGCAAGAAGCAGTGTGGATTTGCCTAGCTATGACACAGCTTCCCCAAGCTCCTGACCTCATTCGCAATAACAAGCGAGTCTCCATTTTCCGTCCATGCGGCTGGACCATGATGGGAGGGCTCTGCATGGGCACAAGCGATGGCAGAGCTGTGAGGAGCAAGGCCTCAGCTGAGGCTGAGCTCAGGACAGGATGAGGATGGAGCTTGCCCCGGAGCTGACTCCTGGGAGTAAGACCTAGGCCAGGTAGGTTCAATACATGCATCTCCATCACTGATGTCCAGATGGAGCTGCAGACTTTCCTCCCTCCTATTTTAGATGGGTCTGGCTGTGATATAGCTTGGTAGACCCTGCAAATGGGCTTTGCAGGAGTTCAGGAGGCATTTGCCTGCCCATCCTCGCTGGCCAGGACACAACCCCGTCTCGCGTCGTCTTGCGAGCAAGGTGGGAGGTGGTTGACTTAGCTCAGGAGCCATCCTGGTGGTTCATTCACCACCAGAGCAAAGCAGAGCTCCTCTGAGCTCCCAGCACATGTGTGGGTATCTGGAGAAAGCCACCAACACCTTTGCACGCCGGCCCAAGGCCATGGAGGCATGGGGGACCACTTGTGAGCCCCACGTGTAGAGCCTGTGGGAACTGCTCTCATTCGCAGGGTGGACAATGCCAACCGCTATCTGGCCGCTTAGATGCAGCTCTGCGCCGGGTACCTCTCTGGGGTGGCAGGAGTGTGGCCGGAGGCGTGGGCATGTTTCCTTTAACCTGCTTAGCTGCAACAACGATTATACATCAAATAGTTGCGCGCGGGATTAAACCCTCTTAAGTGTGGCTTGGAAATCCTCCCGTAATCCAGACGCAGCTGTAGGAGGGAAGGATGGGCAGCCGGAGCAGAGGGGGTTTATCTGCTGGGAAAGCTTTTTAACGCCAAATCACGTTATTGCAAATTGCACTAAAGAAAGCCTCACTTTAGGCACTGACCTTGAAGCTTTCCTCTCTGTTGCAGATGAGCCTGATCCTGCCCTCTCCGGTGCTGTCCCAGCCACAGCTCACAGGACTGAACTCTGGTAAGTTCCCAGGATCTGTTGCAGAGCGGGAAGCATCCGGGAGCCGGTCTCCCCTTGTTGACAGTGCTCTAGTTGCTAAAATCCCCAAATATCTGCCTGCCTACCCCCCAAAGAGGGTTATCCTGGCACCAAGGATGTCAGCAGCCTTCCTGGAGCCAGACAGCACAGTCCCCTTGCTCCAAACCAACGCTGGCTGCTCTGCTCCATCTTGTTTTTCTGCTTCTCGGTGAGCCATCCTGCTTTCACCGGCCCTGAATAGCCCCTTGAAACATCTTCATGTTGCCAGAATTGTCCTGGGTACAAAGGAGAGAGATGGTGGGAGGTAGATGCTTGACCTGACTGTGTTGGGTGTCCCAAGGCTGATCAAGCAGCTCCGAGCATGCTGGAAAAGAAAGATGTAGAGGTAGCAGCAGTAAACCTCTTGCAGAGAAGGGTCCACATCCTTCCTCGTGGCAGCAGGGAACAGTGTGCAGACCCGCACTTGGTTCAGGCTCTCCCTCTGGGCCTGTTTAGCAACGAAGCCAATGCCCAGCACGTTTTAATGGGTTTATTTTAGTAGCTGCTGTTGACTGATCCTTCCTGGGCCAGCAGTTTCCTTAGCGAGTTATTTTTAATAACGTTTGCACGGTTTATGGTGCATATGGGAATCACATTTCCCTGCTATCGCACCACAGACAATGGAGCGAGCCCATCCTACAGTCAGCAGTGATTTTGTTCGAGGTAAAAGTAGGGAATGATTTTGAGTCAAAACAGATGAGCACAGTGGATGGGTGGCTCAGTTGGCCCCCCAAAATTTGCTTTTCCAGAAATGACTTGGAAAAAAAAAACTTTAAAAAAAAAAAAAAAAAAAAAAAAAAAAAAAAAAAAAAAAAAAAAAAAAAAAAAAGAGATGGAGAGAGAGAGGCAGTGTGTGGAACTGGCAGCCCTACCATCTCCAACAAAGGTGCTTTGTTCTCCCGGCGGTGCGACTTGACCCGTGAGATAGCGTTTTGCTGGAGCAGCTCCTTGCATGAGGTCTTGAGCTCTTTCAGGTGTCAGGCTCTGTGGCCTAGCGGGTTTCTCCCTGGGAACAGTTTGGCAGGGGGTAGGCACTGGGATGGGACGTTTTGCATCCAAAATGGTGAGCGTCTGCCTGGCTGTGCATTATGTGCTGCTTAGAGGGAGAAGCTGGGCATGGAGTTGGCTGTGGAAGACAGAGGCTGGGTTGTATCCTCAGAATGGGGCTGGGTGTGTGGAAGAGTCTTGTCTTGCTCTGCAGAGGCTCCAAATCTGCTTGGCCCTGGCCCTGGAGCCCGTATCTGACAAACATGCCTTCTGCATGGCATCCCCAGTGAAGCTCCCATTGGATGCCACCTCTCCTTGCCACGTGGGGACCCCCCTGCTCCATCAGCTTCTGGTCGTCCCAGTGAGGCAGGTAGCATCGTGGTGAGTGGGCATAGCCCAGCTGAGCAACGTGCCTGGAATTGCTTGCAGGGAGGGCCCGGAGTCAGGTTTGAGTCACGGCTGCAGGGACACTGAGTCATCTGGATCTCTTGGAGACCAGTTCAGAAGCCTCAGCTTGGCGATCTGGTGCTGGTCGAGGCTCTCAGCTTTCCCATTCAGCCTCCTGCCAGCCCAGCAGAAGGTCTTAGGGCTCTCATAGGTCCTATGTCAGAGCTGCTGGTCCCATGCAGCTGTCTCTGATCTCACAGGGCATCTTGGAGAGCATCCAGTGCCTTTACTGCATCCTTGTGGCCCTGAACGTGTCCCTTTTCCTTCCAGAAAAAAGCCTCCAAGCCCAACGTAGGACTTTCAAAACCTCCTGGGCATGTTACCCCCTCTCTGACTCTGAGCACATCTTCGGTGCTGTGGAGCCTACAGCAACCTGCTCCATGTGGTGTGGAGCCATCAAATCTCACTGTGGAGTCTTCTCCATGGAGGCACTCGTTCTCCAGCTATGGGATAGGCTCTTCCCAGGTTTGGGGTCCCTGTAGAGGGTCTCGGGGAGCACAGGGAGGAATCACCTCAATCCCATGTGCTCTCTGTGGCTTGGGGGTCTGTGCACAGTGAAGAAAGGAGGACGATGGTCAGCATTTCCCACTCTCACTATGGAGAGTGACCACTCAGGGACCTCCATTTACCCATGGAGGATTTACCTGAATCATCCTTTGGTGCCGGAAACCTTTGCTATGGTCCACGTTGGCACTTAGATCTGTTTTTATGCAACTTTGAAGACTTTGGCAGCTCATTCTTTGATCTGACAGTAGCATGTGTCATCACTTCAAGCAAATATCCCTGTTTAGTGATATATAAACTGTCCAAGCCTGCGGCACCCTGAGGAATTAGCAAGGGAAAGGGGAGGAGAAGCAGAGTGAGGTGGAACAAGGGGAAGGTGATATTTTTTTTGGCCCAAGGCAGGAATCGGTGCCAGGAACACTGAGGTTTCCAACAAGGAGGACGCTCCTGTTGCACCCAGCACAAACGCAGAAGAGCCACCGTAGGGAGCAGTTACAGTCATTGCGTCTTCTCCTGGGCTCGTTTCAACAGAACAGATTATAGCTGTATGTGGCTGAGGGAGGATGGGAAGGGATGAGTGGTCCTTGGGCTCCATGTGTCCTAAATTTTTAATACAGGATGGATACAGGAGTTGCTGTGTAAATTCCCAGCCTGCGTTATGCCAGCATGCAGTGTAACAGACAGGCTCTCTCTGGTTCCAGGCTGGGCCTTCCATAGTGATTTTTAAGCTATCCTGTTAACTGGCTAATAACTGTCAAAACTTATTTGCAGCTCCACAAATGAAGAGCACTTGGAGTTTAAGAAGGCTTTGTACAGAACAGATGCCAGGAGCTCCATAGATCTACGAAACATGACTGTATCTGGCAGCGGGGCCTGGGATCCCTCCACCCTGGAGACGAGAGCGGGCGACAGGAGAGAAGAAAGCACTTTAGAGAGACTCTCTGGCTTGAAGGACTCGAAGGATGGGCGGTGCGTAAAGGAGTCGGTGTTTGCCATGGAGTCCCAGCTTGTAAATACTGTGCAGGTGGATCCGGAGCAACTGGACAGTGACCCCGAGGACCTGGACTCCGGCAAGGCGGCAGCAGAGACGCCCAGCCCTTGTCCGGGGGCACCGGCTGGCAGTGGAGAAGAGAAATATCTTAAAAATGAACCAAAGCAACTTGAAGGCCTCAGCAAAGAGCACTTAGATAAAAGCAAGAGGGGGATCCAGAGGGTTGACTGGATTTCTAGACCCAATAAAAGCCCAAGTCCTCACTACAAAGACATAAGCAAGCCGACAGATGTAGCAACAAGCTTACCCTTTCGGGGCCAGGTCATGCGTGAAGTGCCTCCTCCACTGACTCCGACGGTGTTCAGAAAAACGCTAAACCCCGTCCTCAGTAAGCCCAAAGGCCTCGAGAGCGCCCCCTCACACAGGAAGGGGCTGGTGGTCGAGGCGGACTTGGGCAACATCAGCCCACTCAGCACGGCAGAGTGGACGATACAGAAGCCGAGTCTTCAGCTCGGTGCTGACCTCACTGTCAGCAAACAGTCCTGGACAGTAAATGCCGAAGACTCAGTGGAGCGGATCCCGTTGATGTCTCTGGAGCCAGCTCCCTGCAGCTCCTACGACATTGAGATGAGGCCCTACATGTGCAGCGTCTTGCTAGAGGAGCAGGGGAAAGAAGAGCTGGGCCCAGAGGAGGACCCGACAGTGTACACGTGCATCGAATGCAGCATTTACTTTAAGAAGAAGGAACATTTGATGGATCACATGCTTCAGCATAATCGCGGACCAGGGAGGGACCAAGACAGAGATGCTTTGGGAGGGCAGTGCCAATTCTGTTGCAATGAATGTGGATGGGCCTTTGGAGACCCCACATCTCTGGAGCAGCACAAAAGGCTCCACCAAGAATCCAGGGAAAAAATTATTGAAGAAATCCAGAAGCTGAATGAGTTTCCAGACGAAGGCCGGGAAGCCCGGCTCCAGTGCCCCAAATGCGTCTTTGGCACAAACTCCTCCAAGATTTTCGTCCAGCACGCCAAGATGCACGTCAAGGAGAGGAAGGACCAAGGCACAAAGAACGTGAATCTCTTTGGAAGCGCTGGCAGTGGAGAAATGCGGGACAGCCCAGCGCACGGCATCTACAAACACTTCAAACCAAATGAACACGTAACCCTGCAGGTGCAGGTACCGCCTCATGGCAGCGGCAAAGGGCTCAGCACCTGTATGCTCTGCAGCTTCCCAGCCCCCAATGAGAACATCCTCAAGGAGCACATGAAATACGCCCACTCCCACCTCTCCTGGGATGCGGAGGCATTTGAGGAAGACCCCAGTCAGCCTGGAACTAGCAGAGATGCCTACAGCCCTGCTCGGCCAGGGCGGTTTGCCGAGCCGGATTATTTCGGCAAAGCAGAGCGGCTCTTCCCTCCGTCCCACCGCGAAAGCACGTCGCATTACGAAGCTGTCCATGGCTTTGCCTTAGCCCACCCGCGGCTCGACAAAAGCAACGGGGCGAATAAAAAGGACTACCAGACGTCAGGGTTTCATGCCAGGAAGGCAGCTCCCTATGCTGCCCCGCACAAAAACCTGGGGCTGTTGGGCCTCCCCTCCACGAAGGCCTATTCCCAGTTTGCTCTGCAGCAGCTGAAAAAAAAAGCAGCAGCTCAGCACCTCGAGGCAGAAGGCGACGGTCTCAGGAGCCACCCGACAGGGCTAGAGGAGCTCAGGCACAAATGGACAGTGGCCAACGACACTGGGAGCATGGAAGAGGAGATCTCTGTAACCACAGAAATAGACTTGACCGAGAACAGAGGCATCAAACCCGTCGCTATCCCTCAAGCTGCCTTGGACCTCAAGAGGACGTTCAGAGACACCTTGAAAGCCACCGACTCTTCGATAGCGTCCGAGGAGCAGCAGCAGCAGCTGCGGAAGATGGTGCCCATCGTGCTCCTCGAGGAGGTGAATCTGCATCCCAAAGCGACCAAGCGGCCCAGAGGGAAACCATTCAAGAAGAAAGCAGCAGTCCCTTCCCGGGAATTCATGATGGAAGAGCCTCTCCCGTTGGACATGCTCCTGCTGGACTCTCCTCTGGAGGGTCCTCTGGAGCTTGACGACCTCTTGGACTCCGACTCGCCCATGCTGAAGAACGAGGAGCGGAAGTGCCCCTACTGCCCAGACAGGTTTCACAATGGCATCGGGCTGGCGAACCATGTGCGGGGCCACCTCAACAGGGTGGGGGTGAGCTACAACGTCCGTCACTTCATCTCAGCGGAAGAAGTGAAAGCTATTGAGCAAAAATTTTCCTTCCAAAAGAAGAAGAAAAAAGGTAGTATGTATTCAATTCACCGTGCTTTCTATTTTCTTGTTTTAAGCGGCGGGGTTTTCTCCTCCCGCTGACGATGGGTACGTATGTTACTGTGGCCAGCTTGAATGTCAACAGTCATGGGCTCCCAGGCACATCTCCTTGCCCCGCTGCTCCTCCGCAGCGTGGCCTCTGGTTGTGTCGGGTGCTGTAAAACCCTCTCGGAGACCCACTCGGGTTTATTGGCCCCTCATTTGCGTGTCGTTCTTTCCGCAGTTGCAAACTTCGACCCGAGTACGTTCAGCCTGATGCGTTGCGAGTTCTGCGGGGCCGGCTTCGACACGCGCGCGGGCCTCTCCAGCCATGCCAGGGCCCACCTGAGAGACTTTGGTATTACCAACTGGGAGCTCACCATCTCGCCCATTAACATCCTCAAGGAGCTGCTGGCCAACTCGGCCGAGCACCCCATGCTGCAGTCGGCGGTGGGAGCGGAGCCCTCGTCCCCAGGCCGCGAGAGGGAGGCGCATGGCTTCATGCCCCGCAAGAGCATGACGCCCATGTCCGAATGCAGCATCCCCCGATCTCCTCTGTCCCCGTTCCCCCCGGCCTGGGGAGATGAGTCCCTGCAGTCCTACAGAGACGGTAAGTGTCCCCCGAACGCCCTGGGCAACCTAGAAACTGTTTTGATATCCCAAAAACTGGATCTTCTCCTCCTTTTGCGGAACAGAGCCTTGCTGGAGGGGGGTTATTTCCAGGGAATGGTTTAATCAGCAGAGCCAGGTGCTAGTTTATCCATGTCCACCGTTTGTCCTCTGGGTTGAATGTCTGGTGAAAACTGATCTTGGTTTTGAGCGGGCAGATGGAGACGTGGCTAATTAAAGAGCCTGGCCGCTTCTTGCGGGCAGCACGGTCTCTCGAACGGCAGATGGAGGGATCGCCGTGCGTTGCGTCTTTGGGCTTTGTCGTTAAAAAAGCGCCGTGCCCAGGAGCGAGGCGGTTTCCGTCAGGGAAAACCGATGAACCTGGAGTCTCCGTTAGCGCGTTCCCGAATCATGGGGCAAAAGGTGGCTGGAGGAAAAGAGCAGAGTGTGGCCACCGGTACCTACTTGGCCTGGCAGTGCTCAGCTGTGCAGAAGGCAGGATGCGACTTCCAGGCTGAAGAGCTAGGCTCTCCCCTCGGCCACTGGTTTTCCCTAGGTGTTACAAGGATAAGTGTGAAAGGTCCCTCCAAAGCAGATCTGTTTATAAAGTGGCTGTTTTGGGTGGCTGCAAAGAGGGTGCATGAGCAGTGTTGCTCCATTTCTGGTATCAGTCTGCTCCGTGCTCAGCCAGAGCCGAGTTTTGCAGCCTCGTGGGGCAACTCCCCCAGCAGATGAGGCGCAGCAAGGCCGAGGGAGGCTTATTTTAAGCAAAATCTGGCCTATTCACATGCGGAGCAGCAGCTCTACAGTGGAGGCCGTCCCAAACAGCTTTCAGGTTTCCCCTGTGAGGCTCTGTGTAGACAAGCCGCCTGTTGCCCAGGCGCGCACTCTGCCCGCAGGATGGTCTCCAAAGGCAGAAAGAACGTTTGCAGCTTCCCCTCGGGGAGCATGCAAAAACTTTGCGCCAGCGCAGCGTTCCTTCGAAGACTAACAACTCGCTCGCGCGTTAGGGAAAATAACACCGGGGGTTACGGTTCCACCTACCGATACCTGGCGCTTCCGGCAGCATCTTTAACTCCTTGAAACGGTCTCTCGTTTGGGTTCTGCTCAGCACATCAGCTTCTTGCTGCAGGGATGTATCTGTCTTTAATTGAACTACCAAAGAGCCTGTAATCCTGGCTCTCCGTGGACTGTTCCACATGCCTGGCCGCTCCTTGGAATGAGCCTTGACCATAATGAACGCAAACGAAAACACGAACGAACCCAAACTCTTCTTTCTTGGCGTGGCAGGCCCTGGAAGCTGAGTAGCTGCTAGCCAAGGGCAGGGGCTGCCGCCAACTAACGGCTTTTTTGGAGGGCTCAGCTGGGTTTCCGCTGTCAGCGGTTGGACGCTCTCGCTGACTGTGATTACCGCTCAGTGATTTCAAGGTCTCCCCGCGCCCACAATTCTATGTCCCGTAGCCAGAGGTCCTCAATTTTAAGTCCTTTTAAAAGGAGCAGGCTACGGCTTGAAATCTGGGCTTGCTTATCAGTACTGGCAACATCACTCCCCTTTTTTTTTTTTTCTGGCACAAAATGCAGACCTGGGGCTGGTGTGTCCCCCGCTATTGCTGTGCCCGTCTCCATAACGCGGTGGGCTCTGGCTGCCTCCAAATGCCAACTCCTCAGCTTTCTCTTAGAAATCACTGAAGAAGACGTCAAAGTGCATGGTGGTGAGGAGGGAGCAATTAGTGCTACTCCCTGCTTTTGTTTTGTACCGTGATTGTTGCACCCTGTGCTGGCATTTGCCTAAGAAAAGGGTGTTGATGTGCCCCCAGCTCACCCGCTGCCTGGGTTGTGCCAGGCTCCCAAAACGCGACCCCTGGGCAGAGCCACACTGGTTGGTCCTTTGGACGAAGCTGCTGCGGCAGCATGGGAAAACCCAGGGGATTTGGGAGAGCTCTGGCGTAGCAGGAGGGAGGACGTGAGCAATGTGGCTTCAGTACTGGGAAAAGGCAGAAAAATCTACGTCGAACGTGGGACGGCGACGGGGCACGCAGGTTTGGCGGGAGGAGTCGGCTTAGGAACCCAGCCGTATGGGGACAGACGAGTCGCAAACAACCGGCCTGCTTCAGCGTCTTATTTAAACCTCGATTAGTTTGAGGACGGACGCTTGAAAGCGAGCAGAGGGCGAGCGCGAACGGCGGCTCGGAAACCAGAGACGGAGCTCAAACCCCCCATCTCCAATGGAGCGCCTGGATTTAAACCTAACTCGCTCGCTCCGTATTTCCTTATGAGTAGCGTCCTTGGGAGAGAATGCCAAGAAAACGGGTAAATCTGGAAAGCCAGAAAAATCCCTGGCGAGGACTGTGCTGGGCCCAGCGACCTGTTGTGTAACCAAGGTATGCACAGCGGGTCACGTGGAGATAGCCATCAGCGCTCCGTAACCGGGCCCGGCTTTTGTATTTAAATCCAAGAATGAAGTCTCTTAGTTACGCTCCTGCGAGGAGCTAGGAGCACAGAGACGGGCTCCCTGCGAATCGAAACCTTCCTCGTTTTGTTTTGAGTCTGAAACGGCTCTTTCAGGCCGCCTTTGGCTGGGCGCTGAAAGTAGCTGTCGCAACCGATTTAAGAATGAAGCAGCACACGTTGCATATGATATTTATTTAACTCTTGCTCCGGGTACGGCTGCAGAAAAGCAGCTGAACAAACAAGTTATAGAGTCGTGTTTGCAGATGAAGGGTGCCGAATCGGTAGCGAGAGGATTTTCGCCCGTTTTATAAACCCACCTGTCCTCGCGTCTCCTTAAATCGCCTGCGATGTGAGACGTCCCAGCGCCGAGAGCTGCTGGGAGCCACCCGCTTCCTTGTGGGAAGCCTTGCTTAAACCCTTGACTGCTCTTCCCAGATGGGAGCGAGAAATTGCCTTGGGGCACCTGCTCCGTGTCGTGTTCTCTGCTCCCGTTTTTTGCTAAGTCTGTAATTTAGAGAGGTTTTTAGGCAACGTTAATGAGATACGGGGCTGTTACCAGGTTATAATGGCAGGAGGTGAAGCAGAGATGGGTGCTGCGTGCGTGCGCGAAGCGTGCCTTGCCGCGTGGGCTGGCGGGTGTTTGCAGCGCGGATGTTTCGAGGTGGCGCTTGCTCTGTTTATAGAGGTCCCCTCCAGGCCTGCGCTCCTGGCACGCGGCGTAAAAGCCTGTCTGAAGGCGGCCGTTTATAGCTCTCCGTCTCACGAGCTGATGCAACCTGCCAAAACTCGCTAAAAGCTAGCGGTGCACGTGGTTAAACCCAGATTTGCAGCGCTGCCCATTAAGAACGGACCGGGATGGACCTAAACAGGGAGGATGAAGGACACGTGGCACCTTCAGCGCTGGCTCGGCATGCCGGGAGAGAGCGGCGCGGGGTTACATGATCCGGTAGCTGTGTTCAAGCGCCACCGTGGGAAGCGCAATGCTGCGACGTGTCGATCGCGCCCCAGGCCGCTGGCAGGGCTCAGCACCTGCGCGCAGATCTCCGCGAACCGCTTCCTGCTTCCTTCCTGGCCACTTCCAGACGGCAATCGCGAACTGCCAGACAGTCTCTGCCAGGGTTACAAGATGCTGAGCAGTTAATAGCTGAGGCTAGGTTGCTTAGCAGACCCTACACCAAATCCCTGCGTTCACGGGGACAGACCCCTGTGCCAGAACTGAGTGGTCATGCAGGGAGAAGTCCCTTTCTGGGTAGCATTTCATGAGCTGTTTTCTAGGTCAGCTGTGGTTCGTGATTTCTAATCAGGGCGCAGTGGGAAATGAAGGCAGAGGACTCTGCTCTGCATGCGATGACAGGGAGATCTGCTAATTCAAAGAGCACTGTTGCACTCTCTCCTTGACTTGTTGCGGTAACTTGGTTATAAGCCCATCAGATGCGAGATTTTGGACCGGTCTGGGCTCTCTTAGGGCCAAACCTCCCATCCTAGAGCAGCCTGCAGGTGGGGATCCGCAGCCAAAACCGAGAGGCATTGGGAAAGGGCTGTGGGTTTAACCGCTGCCCTGCAGTGCCCTGGGAGGAAAGGCGCTGAGTGAGCCCCTGCCGGTCTTGCACCCTCAAATGCTTATTTAAACAAAAAAAAGCCTTTAAGCAAAACTAAAAGTCAAAGGGAGGAAGTAGGCGTTTGGGTCTGTGGCAAGAACTTGAACGTGGCTCCACGGATCAGAATTTGGGCTGGTTATTTAGATGGGTGCCTGTGCAGCAAAAACAGGATGTTGCAAGGCACTTGAGGACCTCAGAGGTCACCTGCGCCCTCCTGCTGCTCCAAAGCAGGTCTGCAGTACCTAAACCAACCTTAGCCTGACTTAGTCTCGGGTGGAGCCTCCAGCACCTCCCTCAGCATCTACACTGCCACCACCTATCCTCCCTCCTAGAAAGTTGATGGGGTCTTTGGTGTTTTTAGCATTTAAGTCCATCGCTGCTAGTCTTATCTGTGGCAAGCAGAGACAATATCTTATGCTCTTCTATAGACTGCAACAGGGATATTTGGGTGTCTCCTTGTTGGTTGTGCCTTTAGACCCTTGATCATTCGTGATTCCTTCTTCTTGAAGTGCTGCTCTCAAAATCGGACACGGCCTCGTCGCAGGGGCCTTCCCAGTGCTGCAGAGAGCTCCCCGTCCTGGGCCTGGTGGCTGCTGCTCCAGGTGGTTCCCTGCGCTCACCTGCTGCTTTCCCCATATGTTGTGATGGGCAAAAGTGTGCCCTGCTGCTGCAAGTGCCTCCTTAAACCCTGGCTTGGCTTTCTACAGAGACTGTTTGTGTATCTCCTGCTCCAAACCTTTTGGCAGTCGCCTCGGAGAACACGTGGCTCCTCTTGGCAGGCGCTGGGAAATGTTAGGCAATGATGTCCTTCCCCAAAGCATGCTGCAGCTCTCCTCCCTCTTAGCTTGCCTCACCTTGCTTTGCCCCCCACCTTGCTTCCGCCGGCCTGGCAGCATCGTCCTCTGGCTTTTCTTCTCCCGTTCTGCAGATCTAACACCCTTTTGCCTCCCTT